GTTCCCGTACTACTCACCAGGATAACATCATCTACGTATTCTTGGTTAGCAAAATATCTACCTGGATATTTTGAAGTGCACCTTCCCTCTAGAATGAAACCTTCGTCTTTGGGCCAGCATTTTTCAAGAGAACAAAGTTTAATGGCGAGGTCGAAAGTACATTTCCCTGGCGAACTCCATAGTTAATAGGGAATCAGATAGATAGCGCTCCTTCACACTTCATAGAGTATTTGGTTCGTGCGTTGGTGTTCATATTGAAAAGCAGTACAAAACACGTTTTATTGATCACTTTGCTGCATACTTAACGAGCTATTGAGTAATTTGGAGAATTACAATTCTCTGGACTGTTTAAATATTACTGTGTAACTGGGAAATATTGCATGGAGGAAATAGGGAGCACCTCAGTTAACAAAGACTCACCCGTCAGGTTGCAATAGAAGGTTGATCGCAGACAGCGTAAGCGACACGGTAACGAAGCGCCCGAGAAGAAAAGCCTCGCCACCAGCAAAGTCAAGGAACAACATGGTAAGATCTTCTGGATTGTGCAACAAGCTGCACAACAAGGACACGCATCGATAGTGTGAGTGCACCAGCATCATCAAAGAAAGGCATTGGCTACACAGGCATGTCAAGGAAGCATTGATAATCATCCAATCCTGCGACAGTGTCAACCTTGACAGGACTCTGCGCAGATCGGATGAGCTTGTCGCCCCTGTCTCCCGGAAGCTATTTAGGCAGCAGCGCGAACCAAAAGCTTTCATTCTTGCCCCAAACCTACCAACTACTGCGAACCGACTACTACCAAGTACTGCACAAGAAAACCTTCAAAACTCTACCAACCTCTTAACTTGAAGAAAGCCCGTAATACACGCCTCCCCTCAATCATCCAACTGACTATATTACTTTTTTGCGTTGTATATTAATGAATTGTTTTATGCTGTTTCCTTCAACTCTGACAGCAAGCATAGCTCCTGCATACCAAGATGAAAACTCTCATGCATCCCACAGTATTTCAAGATATTCGACATCGTCGGACAATGTAGTGAATCAAATGCAGCATTACAGCGAAGGAAACTAGTAAACCCAGGTAACTGCAATCGTCTTCATTGTTCAATGATCCTACGCAGAGTGAAAATTTGGTCAGAGAAGGAGTATCTTGCAGCTCGTTTGGTTTGGGCAAGTTCATCCGACAAATGCCTGCCTCAACATTTCTAAGGTCTTGCAGGAGAAGAATTTTCCGGGTTGACAATTGTGTGATACCACGATAACTGAAACACTCAGTAACCCGACCTCTTTAAATATATTGATGATTGCTCCACATTTTCATTCTTCAGGAAAATGTTTGGAGATCAACATTTGATGAAACAGGTCATTGAGCTGTTCCATCATTCCCGTTTCTTCTAATCTGAATAATTCTGTAAGAATCTGTATCAATTGGGTTACTATTAATGGAAAGCAAACGGCAAACTGGAAGCGCTACCAGAAAATGGCGGCAGAGTGAGTTTCCATAATTTTGTCCAAAGCTTTCAGCTAGCAAAAGAAACCGAACTGCATCGGAACCCTAACAAAACACGTCCAACTGAACATTGCTTCAGATTTAACAACATTTTTGCTGCAAACAAGTACAGAGAAAAATGCACAGCTGAGCAACGACTAAAGAAATATCACATGAATTGGATGGCGTATTAAGCATTACATAGTTTTACCGTTGAACGCTAAATGACAGTGGAAATTAATCTACAGCCTGCATAATTCGCTTGCAATTTTAAGCAAAAGCTTGAAAGGCTTAATTCTGAATTAAATCTGATGGATAAAATTTAGAAGTTGCTAATTAGCAGAAATAAACAGACATTCTGCTTGATCCAGATTTCACATTTAAAAATTGAAGTCT